AGAACATAATATGGCGAAAGTGCAATTTTTCATCCTCAATCTTTAAGGACAAAACAAAACATCAACATTCAACAAAGTCCCACTCGCAATGGAACTATACAATGTTTCAAGCTAGAACGCACCAGTTTCAAATTGCGGTCATTTTATATTAACAATGAAAATCTGGCATGGACTTTTGAAGTGATCTGATATATATAGACTTTTGAAGTGATCTGATATATATATATATATATATATATATATATATATATCAGATCACTTCAAAAGTCCATGCCAGATTTTCATTGTTAATATAAAATGACCGCAACTTGAAACTGGTGCGTTCTATTGTGTATTTAGGCAGCAATCTTTCATTTATGCATGTTTCATTAAAAAAGATAGACAAGGTACTCCGGTTAAGGTTTTTATTTAATTTTTCTTGTGTCTACACAAGAGTTTACTTTTTTGGACACAGTGTGTAGAAACTTTCTAAATGTTCTATAGTTCCGAGCACTCTCGGCTATACTTTTAGCCATTATCAAGGATGATTTTATTTTTTCAGTTTAACAGAATGTGTGGGTTATGTGTATGCTTTTAGTGTCTTACAGAGGTGTTTTATTTTCCGAACACAGCACATTTGGCCTAGTTCGTAGTTAATATTGTTAAGAGTTGGCTTTTTCTTTTTTATTATTAGAGCTTCCATTATTTTTAACCATTTTTAACAAGTGGTTGTTATATTTGAGTTTTCTACGAGTATGTTTCGAATGGAGTCTGGTAGGTGCGTGTGAGTGTTTAAATGGGTTCTAATGGAGCTTTGGTCAGATAGGTGTAACGTAAGGCGTCTGGATAGGCATGTAGTTGTGTGACGGATGTAATTATTTATAAAGTCTTAAATTTCTTATAGTAGATAATTAATTTGATTTTTTTATTCTGGTCGATTGGCGTAGTGAGTGTCTTTATAATATTTCTAAGTGAAAATTCGTCAAACAAGTCGTATCTTCACTTAGAAATAAAAAATATCGCTCAAAAACAAATTTAGAAGCGCAAAAAGGTCAGTAGAAAGAGCAATGATTTTGGGAGAAAGACATGGAAATTTGGACCAGAAAAAAACGAAGAATATCATAGGTGTTAATAAATCACAAATGTGGAGGTAGGCGGAAAATATAGCATAAAGAAAGGATAATAGATGGAGCAAAATGTTGGTTGATTGATACTCAACGGATAGAAAAACGCAGCAGAAATAGACCCGGCAGAAAATGGAAGGAGGAAATAGAAGAGTTTGCTTGTCAAGACATAAAAGACATTAGCACAATTACAACCTTCATCGAGCAGGAGATTCACAATGGCTGCCTTTGCTAAGGATAATTTTAAACTATGTGGCATATAAATTTTATTGAAACTGTTCAAGGTTTTTAATAAGGTAATCTATTTGTGATGAAATGTTAAGTTCACATGCTACTTATTCAAACAGCAATTGACTTCTGGTTAGTTGTACACATAGGATTTTCTTTTATTTTACTAATTTAAAATAATAATAGAAGCACTGGGCGAGGTGGGAAAAAATAGATAATTAGGTGCGTTTAAATGATATTTTTATTACTTATGACAAAACAAAGAAATTTGCATGAAAGCTTCGCGAAATCTAAATATTCTCACCGGCTTCTTATTTTAAATTTCTGAAATGAAAGGCTGTGCACAAACTAGTTTTTTTTTTAGAAAACAACCATCACTTAGCTATAAAAGGGTGCAAAGTTTTACAGTCGGACGTAGTCTCTCGTTTGCACAGCCAGCACTTGACCTCCGAAGGTAAGTTTGTGCCATTTATTCAGTTAACAGATTGTTTCATCGTGCTTGGTTTCACCAAAATAAGCAAAACAAATCTCTCTTTTATATATATATATATATATATATATATGATATATCTATTTATTTATATATATATATATATATATATATATATATATATATAAATGACTTTATATCTATCTATCTATCTCTCTCTATCTCTCTCTCTCTCTCTATATATATATATATATATATTTCGATATCTTTATATTTTCGTACCGGAAATGTAAACAAAGTAGTTTAAGCAATTATTGGATATATATATAGATAGATTCTTAAGTCATTTATATATATATATATATATATATATATATATATATATATATATATATATATATATATAAATATATATATAAATATATATATATCTATCTATTTATATATATATATATATATATATATATATATATATATATATATATATATATATATATATATATATATATAAATGACTTTATATCTATCTATCTCTCTCTCTCTCTCTCTATATATATATATATATATATATATATATATATATATGACTTTTCGATATCTTTATATTTTCGTACCGGAAATGTAAACAAAGTAGTTTAAGCAATTATTGATTCCAACTAAGTATTTATGCAGATGACACAGCTATTTACTCCTTAGTAGCAATTCCGACAGATTTGACAAAGTAGAACTGGAAACTGCTCTCGAAAAGGGCCTCCAATCAATGACTAACTGGGGTAAGGTACGTCTTAAAAATTTTATCGCCTCCAAAACAATAACTACTTTCATTTAATCACCACAGAGAACTTGTTCTGCCTGCCATCGGCATGGCTGATGCTAGACTCCAGGCGTGCAACACTTATTCTCGTTAGAATCCCTCTTGTACATTTATAAATCTACATTGGTACATGTATTGGATGCTTCTGCCATATTTGATCTGGTACTCTTACGATATATTTCGAGATTCTTGACAAAATCCAAAAAAGGGTCTGTAATATAATTGATCCTGACCTGGCATCTCGACTTCAATCACTTTCTAACTGACGTGACGCGACTTCCCTCTGTCCTTTTTGCAAATATTTTTATAGCAATTGTTCTGATGAGATGTTCTCCTTAGTGCCTCGTCTACATGAATTTAAGCGTGTAACTTGATTGAAAAAAATTAGGTCTCACCTTTTTACTGTTGACCAGCTAGATGTAAGTATCAATTCTATTCTAATAGTTTATTTTCCCGGACTTCTCACCTGTGGAACCCCCTTCTAAAGTCTTCCACTCCCTCCAACACCATGCAGCCTAGTGACATAATCGCCTTGTTTAGGGTGAAACGATTAAAAAAAATTCAATCGAGCAATAAGGCAGTCCTTTGTAAATGGTACTTTCATACATACACAATACACGCACACATACACGCACACACACACACACACACATATAATTAAGTTTTGTAATCACTAACGAATTTGTTTAAGAAATGTGCTCCCTAAATATAACACTACAGCAGCAGCTATCTATATTTATATTCATATTTATGCAATTAATTGCTAAACTAGAAGAGGCGCATCTTTTTACAATATATATATATATATATATATATATATATATATATATATATAAATGGTTCAACTCCGATTTTCCAACATAAGTGGTTTGAAAAGTCTTGCGATTGTCTTCATTTGAAGATTGCATTGACCGTGAATAAAAGTCATTATGCAGTGATGATACCTAAGTCTACACAGTTTATATCCACACGCACGTATATATATATATATATATATATATATATATATATATATATATATATATATATATATATATATACAGCACGTATATATATAATACGTATAAATATATATAAATACGCATCTGAAACATGTATTCAGAGTAATTATTCCGTAGAGGACAAACCCTAAAAAACCTCTAATCTTTTGACCGCCTGTCTACATTTATAACCACGGAACCCGCTAAAGCACATAAAAATAATATTATTAGAACTTTTCTCTTAATACTCTCTTAATTTTTGTAAAAGAATGTCTTTCTCTTTTTTTTCTAATTTCAGTTTCCGCTCCAACAAAAAACAAACTAAAAACAAAAACATAAATAAAAAATGGCAGCTACACTTTTTGCAGCTGTTACATTACTTGCAGGTAAGATGAATTCTTGAATTAATTTCAGGTTGTGAGATCTCTACGCAAACATTTTGGCTATTGTTGAAAAATTAGTTTTGTTATATTTTCTTTAATTTTTACCTTTTTTCTTGTTATTTATTTTATTCTTTCATCGTTCATCACATTTTAAGTGCCTGCCATAAGTGAACGTGTAAAATTCAATTGCATATATTAAGAGACGCAGTCAAAATATTTTATACATATGGCCTAATGTTCTGAGAAGTCAGCAAGGATCGAAATTACTCTTACTAGCTTACAGGAAGAATAATTATATGGGAGGATGTCTTGGATAATTGAAAAAGTTCGTTTGGTTTATTAAAATAAGACATTTTATCAGCGTTAATTTCACTGAACAATTTACTGTTTTGCTTTATCATCTGGCATTTTCAAATGTTGCGGATTTTTTTTTAATATTGACTATTTTTAAAGCCATATCCCTAAGCCATAATGTAAGTGATCACAAGTCTATGCAGATTCCTTTTTTATTCTCTAAGTGTAGTAAAAACAGAACCAGTGAATAAACTTATACCAAAGCTTTATTGCACTTTACTCTGACTACTCGTCTACTGACGGATATTACAGGGTGCTTTTTATACCTCCTAGATATTAAGGGAAGGTAACTGATGATTTATCAGTACACTAAAAATTGCCATAATTTCTTGATAAAATCGGAGTGTTTTCCCAATACGTTTTCCACGGATTTGAATTGAAAGTAGTACTCTTCAATTGGCGATTATTAAGGACCTGTGATTAGCGACTGCATTTTTTTTATAGTGGGTGGTGATACCTTCCAATAATGCATAGCGGAAGTACATGATAACTTGTTGACAGTTGGGATCTAGGACCTCAATGATATATCATTTCTCGTTGGGACTCCGATAATTCACGCCGCTTTGCCAAGAGCACCCTAGCAAGGATCTCTAGATATCACCAGATACAATTGATATGAGTCTGGGCATTTCTGTAACATCAAGTTATGATGGTGCCATCTACCATTATCTTTACATACTGTATAGTGCATCTACATGACTTATAACCACATCACGTTGAAATACCGGTTCCCGTACGATCACCGAAGTTAAGCAACGTCAAGCCTGGTCAGTACCTTGATGGGTGACACCTTGGAAATTCCACGTGCTGTAAGCGTGGATGGATAATGGCTCAGAATTGTTAATCAGGGAGTTGAGTTTCAATTCCAATTGGGCTCGTTATATTCACTTACACGCAAATACCCTTGCGAAAAGGTATGGATCCACCTCTCCCCCTCAGCTATGTGTTGATTAGTAAAACTTGTATTATTAAATCATTATTATCTACAAAAAAAAAAAAGAAAGAATATTCTTAAATCTAAAAATATTTCCTGGCTTTAAATAACTTGCAAAGTGTTGATAAACTAATCAATCAATCGAAACTTATAATGATATTATTATTAATAATAATGATAGGAATAATAATGATGATAATAATAAGACGTGGTTGTAATTACAACGAGAATGGTGTGTTTTTCGAAGCTCCTGAAAATTTAACTTTTTTTTCCTTTAAAAACGTAAATATGAAATTTTGTTATTTTTACTATTTTAACGTAGACATGATTTTTTCTTCTTATTATTTATTTAATTTATCTGTTTCTATTTTAATGATCCTGATTGATTAATCAAATAGTTTTCTTATTCATATATTCATTGGAAAGACTACGATGTTGTAGATATTTCGAAAGAATTATTTTCTTAGAAAAACTACGATATTAGTTGTAGAATACGCTAAGTATTTTCTACGAATTTAGTCAATAAATAACTGATTATACAGCGAGGCGAACAAATGAACGAACGAATGAATAATGTTTAGTTTGTGTGTATATATATATATATATATATATATATATATATATATATATATATATATATATATATATATATTATGCAAAAACATAAGTTATCAATAATCTGGTATTTTTTCAAAAATATACTCCGATCACTGCTGTCGATGTTGATAATATTGTTAACACTCATGGTTGGTTATGAACATCTGGATTAAAGTCTGAAACGGAAGACTTTATTCTTGCAGAACAAGACCAGAGTTTTTTTTCACGAGTAACTGTCAGGAAAATATCATACAAAATATTGTGGATTCAAAATGCTGGTTATGTGACAAATATCAGGAAACCACTTGCGCCGAATGAATATAAAAATCGTCACGACAGTGTGGGGCAATATTTGCACTGGACAATGTGCAAACACTTTTGAAAAGATGTTAACAAACACTAGTATGAACATCACCCAGCACAGGTTGTAGAAACAGAAGACATCACAATTCTATGGGATTACACCATCTTTACAGACAGGAAGATTGAAGCAAATAAGCCGGACATAATTATCAAAAACCGAAAAAAAAATCTGGCTTACTAATTGCCCAGTGAACTGTAACATAGCAACCAATTCCTTGGTTGCTATATTACTATTGAAATAGAAAAAATGTGGAAATTGAAAACAAGAATAGTAGCAGTCATAGTAGGTGCGCTTGGAATTATAAAAAAAAAGGAACACAACAACACATTGAAAAAATCCCTGGAAACCCAACCTTAGAAATACAAAAACTGTCTTGATAAGTACAGTTCACACATTGTAAGAAGAAATTTGTCCATGTAATACTAGTGATGTTATGGGAGTCAGAAAAACAAATCATGTCATGTTGGCGTAACAACAAACCCACCTTAGTTCTTGGTAGGTAGTGTGACCATAGCAGAAATCGAAATATAATGCTGATAATAATAATAATAATATTATTACTTATATATGATAATAAAATGAAAGACTTCTATAATTTTCTTGCCCATCTTGTAAATTTATGTACATGTAAAACCGAATAAAAAAATTAAGTTTATTTTTTTATTTTATCGCCATATACTAAAGAATAGTAATTTAACTTTTAATGCTTAATTCAAAGTAATTTTCCTTGGTTCTCTTCGTTTTCAGTTCTCTGCCAAGTCACTCCGTCACTTGCTATCTATCCAGGTAGGTATAATTATTATTCATCCTCCATTTAAAATTCGCATAATGACACGAATTTAGCCTTACATATTTTTGCAGTTATACATAGTTTAATTAAAAAAAAAAGACACCATCTTTGCTTACCGTAACTCACGTGACTAAGTGTATTTCAGTCATTGCGCCTTTTCATCCGACCAACATATCTCTACGAGTTACTAAACCGCTGGTTGGGAGGGTGTTTTTATTGAGTCACCATGTCTAGATTGATTACCAACCAAATCTACTGAGATTCAATCTGTTCATTCGTACAAGCATTGCAAGTTTCTGAACAGTTTCGTCTCCCCAATTTCAGTCATAGGGTTTGGGTAAATCCTTGATATGGTTTTCAGACCCTTTACCTCGGTGCAGGACGTTTTTATCAAGAAGTCAACTTCTTGACTAATCGACTATGTTCAGATGGTCAGAATGTTAGCGCTCTAACCATCAGCCTATGAATCCATTATTATACTTTCGCTCCACTAGTACGTCTCTTTTTCTGATACTACTACCATTCCTGATATGATCATGCTGTTTATTTTTGTATGTTCATTGAGAGGAATAAGATTCAAGTTATATATTGAAAAGATGAACACGGTATCTATTAAACAATTCGGGCCTCCCATCCGCTTTTACCTGTGCTGTGGAATTCATGTGGTCTACATTACAATCATTGCAATCATCTGTACTATATGAGTCTCTAAAAATCTGCTCTGGAATCATTTGAGCACTGTTACAACATCGAAGCACCACCAAAATGTTACATCCCGTAATACTTCCAAACGAGCGTTCAGTTCAGAATTTTACTCTTCAAGAACGGATCTAACTGAACAAAAGATGCAGCAAGGTCAACATCTTGTTGGAATGACACTAGTATGCACTGTTTTTCTTTTCCCCATGCATGCGCCTCTATCTATCTATCTATCTATCTATCTATCTATCTATCTATCTATCTATTTATCTATCTATCTATTAAACGGATTTTTCATTCGACATTATTTCTTATTACAATAAACATTAATTTAATGGGTAGAAGTGATTGAGTTAGTATCCCTGTTGTTTTAAATTTTTCTTAAAGAGTAAAATAAATAACAACCAGCCTAGATTGAACTAGGCCTGTTGTAATTAATTTCGCTCTAAGAAAAATACAGGGATAGCAACTCAAACACGTCTACCCACTAAAAATAACGCTAATTGTAATAATAATAATAATAATGTTTATTAATAATCCTAATGAAGTCTCAGAATGGATCGCTGAAGGTACTACATATCTCCTGCCAAAAACGGGTGAAACATATTATCCGAAAAATTTTAGACCAATAACATGTTTGTCCACAACATATAAATTGATCACGTCTGTTTTGACAAACCGTGCTTACTCTTTTCTCTAAGAAAACTACATTCTTTCCCGCAAACAGAAGTGATGCCGGAAAGATTGATATGACTGCAAAGATCAACTATTGATAAACAAAATGATCCTGGAAAATTGCAGAAAAGTTAGAAATCAGCATGGATAGATTATTGTAAAGTCTTTGATAGTGTGACACACTTTTGGATCTTTAAGACATTGAAATTGTACAAAGTCTCCTCGGTGATAGTAAATTTCAAAAAACACAGCATGGAAATGTAGAAAACCACATTATACTTAAATCATACAAGAGGCATTGCCACCTCCAACCGCCTGAATATCCGACGAGGAATCTTTCAAGGAGACTCACTGTCACCCCTTCTGTTTTGTCTCTCCTTAATCCCTCTTACGCAAATATACGTCCGCTACGTAGACGATATTATTATTTTAGCTGTGAACATATATATATATATATATAATTACTTTGGAGAAATTGCTCACTTAGCTGAGTGGTGTTATTTTAGTTATGCCTGCTATCAGTAGGCTATAGCACATCAAGAAAATATGTTCAATTTTCAGGGCTTGTTGTTTTCAAAACAACAAGCCCTGTAGAGTGAACATGTTATAAGTTAATTCTATTAACGCTCTAGCCTAACTTTTGATATCGAGCACTTTATGACAAAATCCTGCCTGCCCAAAAGGTTTTTCCTTCTGGAAAAAGAGCCAGCAATTCTGGTACTTAATAATATACTATACTATATATATATATATATATATATATATATATATATATATATATATATATACACGTGCATACATATATATTTTTCATCGTGATAGACTTTTTTTTAAATGTCAAGCATTTGTTAACAGCATGTTGCTGTAAAGTTATTTAACATTTAAACTAGCCACGACTTTGTCAGTCATATTTATACGCCTTGGTTTTTTAAAATCATGGATAGTCTATGTTAAATCCCTTTACACCATCAATGATAACTTAAATCTTAAATACATTTACCAACGTTCCTGTTAAAGAAATGCTTAAATCTTTAAAAAAATCTACTGCAATAAAAAATAAACCCCTCTCTACCAATAGCGGAAATAAAAAAAAATTCCGTCTCATGACCAATATATATGACCTGCATCAAGGCAATGACAACTTCTTACGGTGGCTTGTCGGAGTTAGCTCCTCCTTAATTCCCAAATTCTCACCAGGGGTCTCTCTCTCTATACTATAAATACTGGGAAACTTCTTGCCTATTTCTCTTTTTTCTTCATTCCAGCGAACACCGCTGCTATGTGAACTCTCGCAAAAAAAAAAAAAAAGACAGTGTTTCCCATTTCTGGGAAAACGCTATGAACATTACAAACATACACGTACGAACATTCATCAAAATGCGAACATTCACCAAAGAACAAACTCAAATGTTCACACACACACACACACACACACACACACACACACACACACACACACACACACACACACACACAAATGTTAACTGTCTATGTATTTTGTAATTTGTTTAATACATATATTTGTTAATATATATATATATATATATATATATATATATATATATATATATATATATATATATTTGTTTTTTTTGTTTTCTTACATCTTTAGTTAGACTTAATTCAACTTGTAGTTGGATCTTTTAATATTCTACCTGGAGTTACGCACGTGTTCCCAATTTAACAACACGCAAACCACACGGTCCTCTACAGGCTAAGTTCTCACTCATTTACGCCTTTTCTCGACAAACCACCTGCCATTTTTATCAAAATATCTGACGCTGAGGTAGAGCACAGGGAAATATCGATTCATGCATTTTATTAAATGACATTATAATAAAGTCAAAATACACAGTCTCAGCTGAAATTCGAATTCGGTTTGACGCATCCATTTTCATTTTCGGTAACGGTATGTCGTACATTCGGGTCGTATGCATACTCTCTATATAACCAATTACTAGTAATTTGTCAACTAAATTGCATTAATAGATTTTCTTTTATTGTTTTTTCCAGGTGTATGGGGAGGATATGGTGGTTACACCGGATCTTACAATCCTTCTGTCAGCACTACATACCAGGGTACACATTATCCAGGCTATCATGGATGGGGATACGGCCACAGTGGATGGGGAGGATATGGCGGTCATTATACTACCGGACATTCTGTTAGCTCTGTTTCTCATGGTGTCTCTCATCCAGTAGGCTACAGCGGATGGGGTCTTAATGGCTTAGGATATGGCTGGAACTACCCTACTGGAACATGGGGAGGATATAGCTCTTATTACCCTACCGGACATTCTGTTAGCTCTGTTTCCCATGGTGTCTCTCATCCAGTAGGCTACGGTGGATGGGGTCTTAATGGCTTGGGATATGGCTTGAACTACCCAACTGGAGCATGGGGAGGATATAGCTCTTATTACCCTACCGGACATTCTGTTAGCTCAGTTTCCCATGGAGTCTCTCATCCAGTAGGCAACGGCGGATGGGGTCTTAATAGCTTGGGATATGGCTGGAACTACCCTACTGGAACATGGGGAGGATATAGCTCTTATTACCCTACCGGACATTCTGTTAGCTCTGTTTCCATGGTGTCTCTCATCCAGTAGGCTACAGTGGATGGGGGTCTTAATGGCTTGGGATATGGCTGGAACTACCCTACTGGAACATGGGAGGATATAGCTCTTATTACCCTACCGGACATTCTGTTAGCTCTGTTTCCCATGGTGTCTCTCATCCAGTAGGCTACGGTGGATGGGGTCTTAATGGCTTGGGATATGGCTGGAACTACCCTACTGGAACATGGGGAGGATATAGCTCTTATTACCCTACCGGACATTCTGTTAGCTCAGTTTCCCATGGTATCTCTCATCCAGTAGGCTACGGTGGATGGGGTCTTAATGGCTTGGGATATGGCTGGAACTATCCTACTGGAACATGGGGAGGATATAGCTCTTATTACCCTACCGGACATTCTGTTAGCTCAGTTTCCCATGGTGTCTCTCATCCAGTAGGCTACAGTGGATGGGGTCTTAATGGCTTAGGATATGGCTGGAACTACCCAACTGGAGCATGGGGAGGATATAGCTCTTATTACCCTACCGGACATTCTGTTAGCTCAGTTTCCCATGGAGTCTCTCATCCAGTAGGCTACGGCGGATGGGGTCTTAATGGCTTGGGATATGGCTGGAACTACCCTACTGGAACATGGGGAGGATATAGCTCTTATTACCCTACCGGACATTCTGTTAGCTCTGTTTCCCATGGTGCAGTAGGCTATGGTGGTTTGGGACTTGCCAGTCTAGGTGGAGGCTACAGTTACCCAGTTGGATCTTCCGTAAGCAGTGTGTCTCATGGCCTGGGCGGTTTCTATGGGGGTTACGGAGTTGGTGGATATCACCCTCTAACATCTGGTATTTATTCCGGCGGTTGGGGTGGTTACTTTTGAACGAATGCACCTCACATCGCTGTAAAATAAAACACGGATTTTACGTAATAAGTAAGTTTTCAAATATTTTCTTTGTTGCTTTCGTTATGTAAGTGGTAGTATCGGAAATGTCTTGGACTAGGATCATCTGACAGCTTCCATGACTGATTTTATTGAGAAAACTAAGGGATTATTCTTGGAGGGTTTATGTGAGCAGATAACATGAAACCTATTGGCGGATTGACTCAGTAGGCTAAGTACCTATGAGTGTGTATTTCCGCCACAATCGACACAATCCCAGGTATTTACAATCTGGGAAATCTCACATACTACCATATATATGAAAGATTAATGTATTTTCTTCAGATCGAACAATATTTCTTCTTAAAAATATTAATTTAATGGTACATATACTGAGTTTTTAATAAATTTTATGTTATCAAATTAGATCATAATGTTTGTTTATTTTTATATGGAAAATTCCTGAATAGATAAAAATTAATCATTTTATTAAGATTATTAGACATCAAAATAGAATATTGCTCTCTATTTATGCAATATGCATTACTTTTAATTTCAAATTTGATTTTGGGCGCGAACACGTCTGGTGTATTTTTCACTACAACCATTCTTTGCAAAAATAGTAAAATATAAGGTTGTGAGACACAACCTGTGATGTTTTGTCTTCGACTGAGTTCTGAAGAGCGTCTCGCTCTTCAGAACTCAGTCGAAGACAAAACATCACAGTTCTGATTCTCTAGTGATAATTTTTCCTTTTCACTAATTTTTGTCATTATGAGCTTATATGTTTTGTCGTCGATTGAGATCTGAACAACTAGGAACGATAATCGGTTAGTTTTTTTTTTTCATATATAATTTTTAAATTACCATTTTACGGTGAGGGATTATTTTTCCATTTCTCTTAATTTCCTCGTTTTACGATATTTGTATATATTATGTGTTAATATAGACTTCTTAAAAAATCCATTTTTAAAGTCATAATAAAATTTAGTAACCCTGATAAATTATTTAATTTGCTTGGTTAACAGATTTTTCTGGTATTATGTATTTGATTGCAATATATTTGCATGTTTAGTATTGTTTAGTATTTATGTATTTAGAATTATTAAATGTTGCTAGATTAGACTGCAAGTAGCGAATTATTATCCACCTGAAAGCAGCTACAAAATATTGAACGGATTTTGTTCTCATTAGGGGGTAAAGTTAGTCCAGTTTATTTTGATAGTAGCCTCAAAATGTCGCTAGGTTCGAAATGCAAAATTTCGTAACTGAACTTTTAAAAGTAGTCAAATCTAACAACTATGTGTGCTTGCTAAATATTTGCAAAGTTAACTCATTAATACATATTTTTCCTGTTTATTTCAGCGTCTTCCAAAATGGTTTTCGGAAATTTCCACAAGATGCCTCAGTGACCAAAGTTGCTGTTCCATAAAATAATTCCACAAGCCATATCAATTTGATTATTTGTAATTAACAGATGCTAATGAAAATAAAATAATTTAAAACGCTTATTTTGCATATTCGAATTTTGTGTTAAATATTCAAAACGATCCCATACCAAAAACTAGGAAAATTTCGTTGAACGTTCACAAATAAAAATGAAAGATGAAAACAAACGCCGTCAAATAGGAACTCGAACTCTGTTTCTAATCTATTTAAGTATAATGTTAAAAAATTCAGGGATTCAATTTTTCCGTCTGGGTGGGCAGGTAGGCGAAACTTGGGACAACTTCTGCTATGTCGGTCTCATAGATCAGCTCTTCACTCCCTACCAACTTTCTGTCAATTTCAACGCACAGTGTGTGGCTGACAATACAAACCAGTAGCACAGTAATTACACGAAGGACATTCTGTTACCTGCCACTCGCAGACCTTGAAATTGAGTCAAGTTTGGGTCCCAACTGTGACTGTTAATATAGACCTACTTGTTTTTGCTTGACCTAAAAGCACTTATTCACTCATTTTCTTCTGTTCTTCTTCGGTCAAGTGGGTGCCATTTAGAAGATCCAACTTCAAATACTATTTGCTGACCATAAAACGCGAAAACATCTGAGATCGCGATAAAAAAAAAACATTTTCCTTTTCTATGTGGGTGGCCCAGTCATAGTGTTACATGGCGAAGCATCTCGAGACTAGGGATAGCAGATGTACTGACCTTCGTGAACACGGGAAGATAGTACAAAGACACGGTAGCCTTGTTACTAAGAATTTTTAGCTCCGAGCGCATTTTTGTTAAACAGCATAATCAAAGCATGTACTGTCTGCAAACTTTTCCGACATCATCTCATAAAACTATGAATACAATATATATAAAGCATACAATTAGACTAAAGTTTAGACGTATTGTTACTACCTAGTGAGTTATGACCTCACTGTGTAACCCTCATCACTTATGATCTCATATCAAATTAAACGCGACTTAGGGAATATCCATAAAAACTATGAGTCATGTTATGTTATTTACATTAGTTGGCAAGTATGTTTATACCAATCAGCACATGAATACACATCAGTAAAATACACCATATATCCACTAATCGTCGTTATCATTGTAGACCATCTTTTCAGATGAAGTCGATCGGTTCTCTTCGTGGTGAATGGGTTCTCCTGTGACTGATTAGATAAACACAGGAATGGCAAACTTTTTCCGCGGAGTAGGGGGACATCTGATAATACCTTGGATCACAGTTGCGGAAAGATTCTATGCATGACATCTTCAACGACCTTCCAACTTTGCTTTTGTTGTTTCAAGAGCATTTATGTAGATATATCGCCAAATGGCCCAATCGCCAGCCAACGTTTCTAATTGTCTAAGGAAGAACTTACAGTTGTTCAAGATGGCCTTGATGTGATCCATGTATTGCTTGTACTGACCACTCGAAAGCACTTTCGCCTGACCCCAATCCACCGAAGAAAGCACAGGCAGGGTGAGGTGGGAGTCTCAGTTCTCAGTTCTCACGTATGCGGATGACGTGACCAGTTCATTGTAGCTATCAATCGATAAGCAAGTCATCAATTAGTCATTTACGAATTTCGATATGTGGAATCTTATTTCCAGTAGGTCGCCACTTCTATCTACTCCCACCCCGCACAATCGTCGCATTAAGTCGCTTTAATGAGCTACTGAGAGAAAATTCTATAAGCGATACGTTTTTCCGTGAAAAATTGAGATCTTAAAACATTTACAGGGTGTGACGGATAAATTGTCGCCATTTTATATTCTAATTTCGTGCATGCGCATTGTTTGTTTTAGATTTTGTCGACTGCACAGTATAGTAGCGTCAGTTAGGTGTCAATTAGAGGACAGTGCAGAGGATTCGGAAAGAGTTGTATGAATCTAATGGTGATTACGAAGGTATGGTAGCTCAGAAAACTCATCGTGATCGTTCTAATAAGAAAAGAACTCCTGAATTTGTTGGTAAGGGCCTCAGACAACACGGAGGAGGCCTTGAGGAGTTAGTGCTGCCCTGAGGAAAGAGGGTGTCTGGAAGACCCTACATCTGTCAACAGGACTCTGCACCATGCTACACAAGTATGAGAACCCAGTCATGGCTGCTAGACAATTTCTCCGACCATATCAACACTTCCATCTGGTCACCTAACTCCCCAGACAGACCCCACCCTTGATTATTGTGTGTGGGGCGCAGTTGAGCGAAAGACTAACAAAACTCCTTGTAATACCAATGATGAACTGAAGGCAAAGATTATGACAGCATCCATCAACTTAAAAAAGGAGACCATCCAAAAGTGATGCAGGAGATTCCAAAGTCAAGTTTGAAGCCAACGGCGATTTATTGAATAAATTTAGTCTTTAGTATTTCAAGATATTTTTGTGTAATTTTGGTAAATATATCTGTTACAATGAGATATCAGTGTTATTTTCATTTTTGCATAATTTCGACGACAATTTATCCATCGTAACCTGTATTTTTAATTAAGCAAAATTGCAGATACAGTTGTGTGTTTACGATGTTAAAATATTGAATTCAGCAAAGAGTTTAAAATATTGAATTCAGCAAAGAGTTTAAAATATTGAATTCAGCAAAGAGTTTAAAATGAAAGAAGAATATCGTGAATTTAGTTTCGTATTTATCCTTAGGGGTTTAATTACCTTCTTTTTAATATTTGAACTCAAACCGAGGTTTATAAATGGAAAAGTCAGCATCCTAAGTTGCTCGAAACCGGACTTTTTATGTTCTATAAAACTCTGAGATAATTCTGCAATATTAATATCGTTATTAATAATAATCGTTTCAAGGAATCTACATTATTTAATAGATAAAAGATAAACTAATGATGATTTATTATGATTTTTTTTTTTTTTTCCCTCAGAATATTTTGACAGCTACATATTCTGACTTCCCTTTTCTTTTGTTCAGATTTGAGCTTGCCCATAAACTCCACAGTATCATATATATATATATATATATATATATATATATATATATATATATATATATATATATATATAATACTAAAACATTGATTTGGAAGAAAATACTGTGAAATGTTTTAAAAATTCTGCAAAATAAAGATAAAAATAAATAACGATGATGAAGTCAATGAAACTCATTAAATATGAGCAACAACTCGTCTCAAAATCTCACACAAATAACAGAAAACTATTTCTGTCTTAAACAAAATTGGTGTATATTATATTTAAAGCCTTTTTAACAGAAGTTTAAAAGCAATATCAATCGCCATCTTCCGTGTTTCCTGAATTCTGATCCTTTTATTGTCCTTTCTCTTCACTAACATTTTCTCATCATTCACTCTCAGTAACCCCTGTATCTTAGTGGTATTATCACCTTGCTTGTGACGAACTGATTTTTACAA